CTTCCTGCCCCCCTGGCGAGCGGGCTGCAGCGGGGCGGGTGGGTGACAATTGGGGGCTTTGTGTTGGCCCTCAGTGCTGGCAGGTCCCAGCAGCAGCACCGGGAAAGTCTCATGGAGATAACAAAGGACAGAGAGAGGTGGCAGCCTGCCCCTGTCATCGGTTATGTCTACATTTCAACGTGAACTGGGTGCTGCCAGAGCTCCGGAGCCCAAAGCCAACTCTGTGCCCTGCAGCCCTGCTTGTGTCCCCTCCCCAAGCGGGGAAAGGATCTGCTTGAAGCCATCGCCACAGCCCAGGCTGTGCCGGTGTCAATGCCAATGTCCTGCGATGGAAACACCCACGGGGAACAGCGCTCCCCGTCACCTCACCTGTGGGGAACGGTGCTCCTGGTCACCTCATCTGTGGGGTCACCTCATCCGTGGGGTCACCTCATCCGTGGGGTCACCTCATCCGTGGTCCTCCCGAGCGCTTTGTGTTCCCGAGAGCAGCCAGCCAGGCACACTGAATGGAGGCGAGAAAAAGCTCAGAACTCCTTCACCTGGTACCTGTCAAGGGAAAATGCAGCTTTTAGACATTTTCCTTTCAAACACAGCCCAGGACTGACCAAACTCAGCCAAGCAGTTGGCTCATCTGGAGTTTCTCCTCATTAAAGAATGAGCAATCCCTCTCCCTGCTCAGCCTCTTTCCCCTTTAAGGCACAGATGAGCTGGTTTGGTGGATGATCACCATTGCATTCCAGCGCACTGCTGAGCTCAAAGCCCAGACAAACACCTGAACACTGCGGTCAGCAAGAGCCAACCGTGGTGCTCACTCCTTTAAAATGGCACAACTGAGAACGAAGGACCACAGCACCCTGTGCCATAGCTGTGATGAGAACAGGAGCAGTGCAGGAACAGCTCAACCGCCCGTTCTGCTTCGGTGTGAGAGATGGGGCAGCTCCCCACAGCGCAGGACGGCTCCCGCTGCAGCCCAGCTCAGCACAAGAAACCAGAAGAACAAGCTGCAACACGCAGCCAGGGCAATCTCCCCAAAGGGATTTGAACAGCCACGCAGCACTGCACTTTACGGAATTTATGCCCTGCCTAATGTAAGGCACAGGAATGAAGTAAAACCCTCCATAAAACACTGTTTGTCAATGGATTCCTGCCAAGGGGAGAGCGCTCTGCTCTGAGCTGTGCTCAAAGGAGCAAATCCCAGCCCACGCCAAGAGCTCAGGGCACCTGAACCAAAGAAATACACCTCAGGGTTTGGATTTCTTTCCCTAACATTGCATGCACAGAATAAAAAACTTATCAACACCAGCCGCATCCCCAACTCCCAGAATTTCCACACAGCACAGCAGTGAGAAGAGACCAACCAGACAAGGCCAGGGAAGAGCAGGTTTGTGAGTTTAATGGGAATTCAAGTTGAGGATTAAAAACCACCTGGAAGTCGAAACAGGGTTGTGAAGCAGGACTGACGCCTTCACCAGGACATTTCAGTGTACGTGAACCGAGGCAACGGTTCCCCCATGCAGGGCTGCTCGAGCGAGGCCAGCGCCTCTCCTGGCGTTTATTACTTGACATATTCTGAAATTATAAGCACCAGATACAGGAACTGAAGCAGAGAACACGCGATTTCCAGACCCTTCCTGCAGGGAACTCATAAAGTCCATTTCCACATAACCCAGATAAAGCCAAAGTTCTGCCTGGGAGATTTCTCCGTGACTGCGCAACCCTTCCCGCTGGAGACAGGAACCAGGAAGAGCTGATCCGTGCTAACAGTGAAAGACAACACGACTGGCACGGTTATTGCTGTGCAAACAAGGTGGTAAAGTCTCATTCCAAGTGTCCAAGTGGAAGGAAACGGCGCTGATGTGCTGCCAGAGCTGTCCAGCTGAGCAGCGGGAGGTGAAGGAAGGCCAGTGATTAAATTGAACTGCCCACAGTGGAGTCTACGGACTAAAATAAAAGCCTGGTATTTGCATATGTAATTTTTCACTTAATTCTGTCACACAAAAGCTTTCAGCTGTGGCCTTTGATTCAGCCAGCGTAAAAATCTGCCCCATGGCCCAAACACACCTGGAGATCCAACCGAAATCACCACCTGAGCAAACACATGCTCCTTGGACAAGCAGCGGTGCCAGGCCCCACGCCAGGCACCAGAGGAAGATCTGGGAGCCTCGGCATTTACAGGAAGCACGTGCCACCGGTACACCCAGCCAGGATTATTTTGGTGGAAAGCCGTATATGGCACCCAGCCCCATTAAGGCTGAGCCTTAATTGAGATTCTGCAGCTAAAGCCAAGGCAAGCGGCTATTTTGATGCTGAGGGAAGTACAGGAGCTGACTCGGTACTAATCCAGCTATTTCGGGGAAGCAGCAGTAGTGAAGGGCAGTCCTACGTGGTTATGGACTTTCTGCATTACCAAATGCAAGAGCTTAGGAGAATTAAACCTACTGTGGTCAGGGGAGTACATTCCTCTTCTCCTCCCTCCTGGGAAACAAGATATATTATCATATACTATACTTCAATTTACATTTTAAATATATTCTGATATATATTTAGGAGGGGGTGGTTCTGTAGGTACACGTACTCTACACACACATCCAACGCGTGGACCAACGCAGAATACAGGAGACACCGTTTGTACGTGGGGAGCCGGACCGTCCTAATCTGCAGCACAAGTGCAATTTGCAAAGGTGAAATAAGGGAGAGGGGCTTCAGTTCCTTTGGCCTGAGGTCGCGTTTGCAGTGAGCTGTGGTGTGAAACAGGGCCCCATCCGGGAAAAGAACCCCAATCTAAGGCCAAATGCTGATTGTGCCAGCCACCGCAGGCGCTTCCAAACACGGCCGCTGAGTTGCCACATACTCCAAGAGTCATTTCCCTGAATAAACCCGACTGAACCCCAGCCCATCCAGGCGAGGACACGCTGCAAGCTGCTGGGCTCTTCTCCTCAGATCAGCCAGCCCTGCTTTCCTCAGCTCAGTCTAGACGACAACGTGACATCAAGTATCAGACACATTTGGATAGACGTGCTGCTAATAATTAAAAAAAAAAACCCAGACCCCGAGCCCACCAGCCGTGGATGACGCTGTAATGCCCTCTTGGTTTCAAAGTGCATTTAGAGACCGAGGTGTAAACAACATCCTATGGAGAGGCCAGGGAGGTTCAAAAGCTGCGGGTTGCTAACTCCGGGCGGTGTCCTAGTGAGTAGGGTTCTGTCACAGGGTGATTCACAGGGGCCCTCCTCGGGGTGCGGCTGCAGAGGCCCCGAGCATTTTGCCGCATTAATCCCCCAGCGCCGGGAGAAGGTCGGCGATGCTGTCGACGTAGTAATCGGGAACCAGGCTCTGCCTGTCCGGACAGGCGCTCTCCTGGTGGCCCTTGACTTCGTCCAGCGTGGTGACGCCGGTGAGCGTCAGCAGGGTGGTGAGGCCGCAGCTGTTGCCCATGAGGATGTCTGTGTCCAGCCGATCTCCCACCATGATGGTACGAGCGGGATCGATGTTGAACTCGCTCACCACGCAATCAAACATGTACCGGTTGGGCTTTCCTACGATGAACGCTTCGCGCTGGGCTGCCGTCTCCACTGCTTTTACCAAGCAGCCAGTCCCTAGGGAGAGAATAAAAACAATGATTAGAGGCTGCAAAAGGCTCTCGGCATCCACACGAGCTGGTACAAAACCACACAGTGCTTTGGAAACACAACGCCTCAGCTTTACAGGGAGGACAGGCAGAGGAACAGGTTGATCCCAAGAGAGGCGGTGCATAAAACCTGCCAGGAGGCTGGAATAGCAACCCACATTGGGATTAGAAAGGAACCGTTATTCCCAGAGGAAAGGATCAACAAGGATTCTCCTTCTTCTGGGAGAAGGCAGCAAGGAGTGGGCAAAACTCAGGCTCCTGGGCTGCCACACTG